TTCCGTACTGGGGTTGGAACGTGGAGTCTGGTGCTCGGCTCGGCAGGTGCTGTACCACGTGAGCCATGCCTCCAGCCTTCTCTGCTTTGAATGATCTCGCCTGTTGCCATCTTAACTGTACTGGGTGCCGCGATTGTTTGCGGGGCACTCACCTGTTCGTCCCCGTGCTCACAAGCTGCCCCCTGGGCGCGGTCCTGTCTTCGCCTTAGATTGGGGGTGCGCTGGCTTCACCCACCCCGAAAGGCAGACGCGGAGGTCCGCGCGCGGGTGGCCCGGACGTGTGTGGGACGACACGAGGGCAACAGAGGGCCCGGCTTCCATTCAGGATTCTAGAACCCGGCTGACCCGAGCGCGAGGGGGCGGGGGGTGATGGACACCGAGGGGCCCCGGGAAGCGGGCGCTCCGCAGGCTCCGTGCTCCCAGGACACTTACCCCGCGCGACCCCGGCCTTCCCGGCCTTCCCGGCTCCTCACCCTCAGGCGGGTGAGGCGGCCGGCCCACACCGGGGTCCGGGGACGGGGGAGGCGGCCCCGGCCCTCACTCGCGGGGCAGCGGGAGGCGGGCCTCACCTCACTCGGGCCCGGGGACTGGGAGGCGGCCCGGCCCTCACTCGCGGGGCAGCGGGAGGCGGCCCCAGCCTCCCCGGGGTTCCCGGGGCGACAGGTGCATGGTGATGGCCGAGGCTCTGGGCTTGGTCAGCGGACTTTTCAGGGGACCCCGCGGTTTCGGGCTCCGGGAAGGCACCCCCCATCTACGATGATGACTTCTGGGCGTGCAGGGAGAGACGAACTAACTTTTCCTGACATGCGCTCCCACCCTCACCTGTCTCCAGGTGGGAACCTGAAGCTGACCAATCAAAAAGCGCGTTGCACCCGCGGTCGGCTACGGCATCCAATCCACTTCAAGGTCTCATCCGCGGCCAGCCGGTGCAGAGGAGTCGCCCGCGGGGGGCCGCCGCGCCTCTCCCCAGAGCGAACCCGGCGCTCTAACTCAGGTGTGGAAGGTTCTTTGCAGGC